ATAAATCAACAATTGAGCTTAGTTGAAAGTATTCAAGTACGGTAATAATAATGCACAATAAAACAAGAGATATGATAGAACAAATGAATGAGTCACATGAAAGTTCACCGTTATTTACAAAAATAATAAATGGATCTAAATAAGTTTAATGAGAGTAGGCCTCATTAATGAAACAGTGTAGAATAATCCTTAGTAAACAAGAATTGCAATATAAAGAGTAAGTTATTACCCTAATAAATGAGAAAGGAACATAAAATTATAACCATCAATGAAATATGAATCACAATACAAATACGCTAGCTAACAGTTTTGTTTATATGTACAACACTAGTAATAAGAACCAGTAAAAACGGTTATTTTGAACTATTTATTAAAATGTTAATTGACAAGATAAAATTACCTTAAATATAATATCGCACGTTTGTCAACCAAAATTACAGAGATGAACTAATTTAACTTTACTTCATTTAAAATCAAAATTCAGAAAGCATAAACAATGTTAAATAACAATGACAAATTATTGTTTATTTAGTACGATATTCAAAAGAGCAATATTGATTCAAAGAATAATAGTAAATACCTAATAATAACCTAATAGTTGGTTATTAATAATATCAATCAACCTTATTACACAATACACCTTAAATGAGAAAATGTAAACAACAACAAACGCTGTACAGTGAGTGTGAGATATGCGTCTGCTACTAGTGTCGGCCGTCTGCACGCGACTAAATCCCGCAACTAAAACTAAATCCCGTTTTCGGGATAAAAAAGCCAAGTAGGGAAAAATTGTCTACTACTAGAGAGAACAGCAAATTGTACATGATTGTGACCTGCGCAGACGCGCGAGTGGAGAGAGATTGCTAAACCACGCCCACGAACGGAACGAACGCGAGCCGATATTTTACCAATATGGCGAAAATTGAAAATTGCAGATCGCTAAAAATATGGTTGATGATGAAAATTGGCTGAAATTAATTACCACAGGACTTTAGACAATGAATCCGGCTCGAAGGACCAAATGTTGGGGGCGTAATGGGTAAAAATGAAAATAATTAATAACTCGAAGGACCAGAACTAATTAATAGTTCAAGAGAAAAATAATTAAATTAGAGAAAATGGCGAATCTGCAATTTGAAGGGCACTGAGGTCCCGAGATGGAATAAAATGTCTTGTGAGGGGCAAATGAGATTAGTTTTAGAGTCTAATTAAAACACACACAAAACTTTAAGGTTGTACCTTGAGTCCAATTATCCAAAGGTGGAGAGTATGGCAGCGGCGTCGTCTATGGTGGAGCGATGGCGGATGGCGGAGTCCTTAGACCGAGTGCTTCTGTTTTGTAGAATTTTGGAGTACGCAACGCACCCAAGTTCATAATCACAAAGAGCTCACTAATACGCGGAAGTCGCGGTGAAAACGTACGGAAAGTCTAGAAGTAATACACGGACGCGCACACACTGTCTTGAGGTTTGAAGAGTCTGAAAGCACTAGATCACAATTTAAGTAATTTAATCACAAACAAAAGGGGGAAATTAAAATGTATATATAGTTAAATGTACTATAGAGGAGAGAGAGGCCAGATATAATTAATCTATAGCCTAAAAATACGTTTAAGAGGTAAAATGGGCAATTAATGTCCCGAGATACTAGAAACGGAATACACCGTGAGTTATGGACGCCGACCGTGGACAGACAGACGCCGATCGCCGGCTTCACACTTTGAAAAATGCAATTGCGGTTTAGAGGGGTCTAGGAATTCGATGGCCAATAGGAAATGCGATTGAAGCAAACACGGCGTCAGGTGATTCATGGGTATGTAGTACAGGAAAATAGGCCTTACTGTGGCGGGAAATTCGAGCAGGCTTAGCAATCTCATTTGAATATTGAAAGCGGGAGTCTATTTACAATAAATTGTTACTGAGACTAAATAATATTACAATAAATGTGGTGATTTATATACACATTAGCATGATTAATTAACCAGTGACTTAATTAACATAATGATTAATTTCTAAATACTCTAAAAATATGAATACCGAACAAGACGGATAACTATTAAACCATTGAAGTGCGTTACCCCTTACGCCAACTGCTTCTAATTTGGAAAAAGCTTAGATCGATCAACTGAATCAAATGCCTTTTTAAGATCTAAAAATATTAATATTGGGTGTTCATTATCTGAAATTGCCAAATTGAAGTCCCTATTAATGTCAAACAATGCATCTGAAATGTTTTTGTCCATCATTATACAAAATAAACTTATCTATCACACACTTTTCAAAAACAGTTCTAATAATAGGAAAGAAATATAACTGTTTTTGAAAAGTGTGTGATAAGTTTATTTTGTATAACTATTATGTAATATTATGAGTCATGTGTCGATGCTGAAGTTTTATTAGTTCTTGAGACCAATACCTAAAAAATCTATTTGGCTCTCCATTCTTGGTACCAATACCATTTATAAATTTAACTAAATTAACAGAAAATTAATGTAGCAATAAAAAATTATTAACATTATAAACACATTAAATGCCATATATAAGGCAGGTAAATTAAGATATTAAATAAATATCAATTACCCCCTGCTGTGCAGCAAATCAAATTTTATCCAAGAAACATATTGCATAGCCCAACTGAAAAGTTTAATAAAGATAATGTCAAGTTTTAAACTAAATAACAAACAGGATTTATATAATTTAATAATCAAACAGATAAAATGTACAAAACATTTATGGTAGTTGATACCAAAACCTTTTATTGAAGTATGCTGTAATCGGTGTGCAGATTATAGGTTTCTTGAAAGTATGTGATCCTTATTAGCTTTATATATATATTATATTTAATGAGTATTTAGGTTTGCTGCTTCAGGGAGGAAAACTTGAGTAATGTGAACAAATTTGTTTACTATAAAATAATACTGAAATGTGTGTACTGAGATAGACCCGGACAACTTTATGTGGCTATGAATAAGTCGGTAAATATTTGTAGAAAACACTAAAAAACAAGGTCAGCTTCTAAGGAATGATAAAATATTTACGTAAAATGTAAATTAAATTGAACTGAGTGATTATTTGCATTAGTTAGCCTACGTAATCTTTGAGTTTAGTCCAATAAACTTATAAAAAATTATGACAGTTATTACTTTTTAAATCACTCCTGTAACACTTGATCGCGGAGCAATGTGAGTGAAACAGAGGATCAGCGTAACAAGAGAGGGTGAGAGCGAAATGCTGTTTACTACATTGACCACAAATCTTTTTTTTTACTTTGCACTTTTATTCAGCATTCTTTGTTTTTCATTAGTTTTGTTATTCTTTATTATCGTGATATTTCATATTTTTATATAATTGTCTGATAAGAATTATCTATGCTTCTATTTGTTTAATATAGTCTTAAAACAAATGTCCATAAGAAAATATTTAAACTCTTGGTATGATTGAAAGAAATATCCTATATATAGACAATAAAAGGAAAAAAAAATAGTTTTGTTTTCATTTCCCCTATTTTTATCTATAGAAGAGATGCTCAAGCTTCGGTTGACGTGCTGGATCCCTGAGTCCGCCCCTCCTACAATACAATTACAATACAATACAATCAGACAAATTAAATAATTTGAGTTGAATTTCCCCAAAATACAGATGAAGTAGAAGTAGAAAACAGACTGATAGCAGGAAGGAAACACTTTCTATTAGTCCAAAATACTAAGTTTCAAAAAGATTTTAAAATCAACTTATCTGAGAATAAACCTAATACTAATTCAACCAGTTCCTACTAACGGAACAGCAAATTTTACTCTAGCCATAAACTCAGTAAAGAAATTTATAGTTTTTGAAAATTAGGCGTTAAGAAATATATGTAGTCCAATGAAATCAAGAATTAAGAAACCTCTACTAACATCCTGACATAGTGGCTACCATCAAAAGCAGAAGTTTAAGATGAGTAGGCCATGTTGTGAGGAAACCCGAAAACACCCTTATTAAAGAAGTATTTAATGGGAGACCTGCAGACACCAGACCACTAAGAAAGCCTAAACTAAAATGGAAAGACCAATGGCAAAATACTTTAGGAGACTAGGAGTAACTTGGGAGCAAGCCAAAGAAAGAAGAATGGAGGCACATTGTTGCAGAGTAATTCAAACTTAATTCAAACCACTAAAGCGTACATAAGCAGACATAAAGCTCAATGGTGTAGCATATGGTTGGAAAGCTTATAAAATGGCGCAGTTTTTAACATATTCCGACACTTTCTTGTATACAGGGTGTGAAAAATGCAATAGACCATTGTTTTTTAAATTGTTATCAAACATCTTAATTTTTATCTTTGAATCTATTTACAATGGAGTTTTAACAACTGATCCTCCGTCATTTTCTATTATTCTTGTTCAAAATTTAATGTCGAACACGAAAATGACATTATCTACTCAAATCCATATACAGGTAATTGAGAAATTGCTGTATTAAGTTTAAAAGCATGGTTATTTTTGAAAAACAAAATAATTTTTTGGGAAGCTAATTTTTAGACTTGGAACATTTGATATGTATCATCACACTTAATTTACTTTGTACTTACACCAAACATTTTTTGTCACACTGAGTACCAATCACCCTGTATAGAGCAATAAAAATTGCCATATAAGATTGGAGACCTTAACTTTTCAACTAAGAAAAAAGTCAAACTGTTTTTAAAAGAATCTGTACTAACTCTCGCATCTGACAATGAAAGTAACTCAGAAGTGACACAGACTGACAGCTCAGATTGGGACTCCTTCAGTCAACAACCCATTCATACAGAACCACAAATTGATTGCGATTTAAATTAGAATTTTTAATTTTTTAGAATGATAAACAGTTTAAAGTGAAAGCAAGAACAAGAATATTTGAACCAATGTTGCATAAATGTATCTTTATATTAGGATTAGCTGACTTAATAGTAGATTAAGACTCATAGTAAAATCTGGACACTGAATTCTAGAAGAATAACGGCTAAATAAAAACATGAAACAGAAAACATAAGTTATATTTGTCAAATTACAGCTCACAAATTGACCACTTAAGGTTAACATTTACATAGTTACAAGTAAAGAGAGATTCAAGCGAACTCTAAATACTTTTGCACTGCTAAGTTTCTGTTTGGGTGGAAATAGTAAGTTAACAAATTATCAAAAAATCAATAAAATGTTGTACATTTTAAAAACTATTTATTTTAGAAACTCAATTAGTGGTAAATCCAACAATAAAATTTCTAAAAGTATGTGAACTTAATCAACACTTATATGAAAACAATCGTTTCATGGAGCTTAACAGTTCCAAGTCTTAAAGCAGTTGGTCTAAAGAAGCAGAATAAAAATACCAACACACAGTTTTACCTCAAAAAACAAATAACTATACGTTCCACAGCATTTGCCCTAATAGCAAAATATAAAGTTTTGTTTTACAAATGTTTACCTGAAAATAGGATTTTAATATTTTCAAGTGGGTTTGTTTGATAAAATTTCTTAAAATAAATACATAGGTGCGAAACAAGGACAAACCAGAATGTAGTTTTCACAGTCAAAATAATTATTTCATTTTACTAGTTTAATAACAAATTGGAAACGGTGAAAATATTTTAAACTCGCAAGATTTGTTCTCTGACTTGATAGGCTCAGCAGTGTAAAAATAGAGTGCAAGAATCTAGAGGTGCCAAAGTGGCTGGACTAGAGAGACTGTGCGGGCCCCCAGCGATCCTAGTCGACTGAGATCTAACATTCAACAAGTGATACAGACATTATATACATAGCCACAATATCTACACCAGCAAGCTCAGACATTTGTCTACTGTGAGTTAGTCAAACAAAGGTTAATTCAATTGTTAAATTACTAATTATGTCTTTTACTATGGCTGGGATATAATTGTATTAATTATATGTAAGTTTAATGGCTATTGACCAGTTTGCTGTATTTTCACAACATTCAATACGATCCACTAAAACATTTAACAAGTTTTCTTCAAATTTAAACTGAACAGGACCAAATACGAGTATATTACATATACTACAATACATATTGCTAATACACGCATGCCAGCTCTACTAGCCTACCTACACTACACAGCGGTGCTAGAAGTAGTAATACTTGTATAGCCTATAGGACTTCTCAGTAAGACTAGAAATTCAGAGTATAAAAAAAAAATTCCACCTACAAGGTTTTAGAATACCACTTCCCTAGTGGAAGAGATCAATATATATCAATACAAAAATTGTATATTGATACGTATGTGTATTTGGGCCAATACACATCAATACACATCAATACAAGTAAATATAGAATTCGAGTCATTAGCTTAATTGAAAATAATTTGTAGCTTGTTAAAAAACAATTTTTAATTTGTTTCAACACATTGAATCACATTTAATATGCACTAAAAATAAAATAACAATGAAAAAGTAAAAAAATTCTTGTCAAAAAGTTCCCGAGATTTGAACCTGGGACTCCAGCATGGTAGCCGGCTGTCTAAGCCGTTACGCCACGAACACTTCATATCTGATTTAGTAATGATAGCCACTTTGAATGCGAGAAGCTGTGTTAGGCCTCATAATAGAACTTGAAAGATTTTTCAATGGCATTAGTGTCATTTCAAGCATGCATGTAATTATGCTTTACATGTTTCAAAACTGTTTTATTACCAGTTCAAACTGTTTTCTTGCTACTTGGGTGATGTGAATAGTGTCAATACAATTTATTTTTATTGATTTCTAGAAATAAGGAATTCAATGATGAATTTGTGAGTGATTTTTATCCCTAACAATAACCCATTAAAAGAAATTGTTAAAAGTTGTCAAAAGCTGTATTACAATTGTTATATAACAATTTTAAAACATTTTGATTTAAACTTCATATTACAACAATGTTGATATAAGATTGAAACAATTTTAAAATTGTTTTACAATCAGTTTTTTTAAGTTTAAAAAAATTAGTTTTAATACAAGTTGTAAACTGATTTACAACAATTTTAAAATTGTTTAGCAATCAGTTTTTGGCAGTTTAAAAAATAAGATTTAATACAAGTTGTAACTGTTTTACAACAATTTTAAAATGATATATTTTTAAATTATATTGAGTATTAGGTACCTCAGCTAACGTCTATAATGACCTAAAACTAGAGTTTTTCCTTTTTTTCAAAAAATAACATTTTTATTACTGTTTATTTACACTTTACATTGATATTTTGTTAATGCTCATATGTGATTCATTTTAGAGATTGTATTTTGAATTTTATTTACCCGTATTGATGTCTATTGATTTATATTTACATCTAACATATTAAAAAAATATTCTCTATTGATATCAATGAACGATTTGTTTGCTCTAATGATCTATATTGATATATTCTATGTTTATAGATGTCTAGTGATATGTATTGACTAAGTTTTCAGTGATGTCTATTTGTTTGTATTTACTTGTAATGATATCCATGAACATCTATTGATATCACTAAGCATCTAGTGATATCAATAGATTTTTTCTATTGATTTCTATTGATGTCTTCCACTAGGGTTAGAGAGTCTGGAAAGTTTGCTACCGACATTTTTTGTACCTTGCTTTGTGATACAAATTTAAAGGTAGCAAAATTTAGGAGGTAAATTTAGGTAGGTGAGTTGAGATTCATACAAAATTATTAGGTTGACATTTCCTTCCATTAGAGCACTCACAAACTCTATACTGAGTGAAAGATTGACATTTCAGCAAGCAATATTTATAATATCTTTTTGTAACTGGTTAATTTACAGAAATCTCTAAAGTTGGATACTAGTGTAACTACAAAAGCACAAAAACGATAATACCAAAAGTACATTGCAAAATCAAATGTACCACATGGTAGGTGGTTTTTATAAAATTTTAAATTATATTTCTAAGCAAAGATGGATTGGTCCTTATTTCTCATTGAGTGTACATTACTAGCTAAATAATATTTACAATGAAAATATACAAGACTGTAATGTCATATTTTCAAGGAAAGTGTTATCTAACATAGAATTTAAAACTCAAAAGAGATTCATTTGTTTAAATACAAATTTATAAAAACACCAGGAAGGGAATATTACCTCTTGTTCATCATTGTAGAATACAAGTATTGCTACCTCTTTGTTTTGTAATATTTACTGTTACTATACAATTAATAATGTAATATGCACTAATATACAACATTTACAAGTTGTTATAGCTAATAAATGCAAGCATTACGTAGTATTAATTTTTGGTCGCTTCTCTAACAAATAATTAGATAAACATTTAAAGATGTTACGTAAACATTGAATAAAATGTCAATAATGGTAAATTTAACAGACAATCTTCAGAGGGTGAAAACGTTTAAGACCTAAGACATGTTTTGGTAAAAAGCAAATGACTTAAAACTTATTTCTGGACTTATATGGAGCAAGACAATTTAGACCATTTTAGCATAAAAACTTTTAACAAGGCTCAACTTTCAACAATTACATAAAAACTTTCTTTGACGCTTAACAGAAATTACTCTTTCACTAAGAATGCTGGAAATAATTATAATTATCATATAATTTATCAATTAATAATAATAATAATATCATACTTATAATCCTATGTAATATTATCACTGTATGGATGTTTGTGTATAACTCTGAAGTTGCATCACCTGAAAACTACTGGACCGATTGTGCTGACATTTTGCAGAGAGGTTGATAGGTTGAGAAGACTTGATACTTGAGAAACACATAGGCATATAAAAATTTTGAAAATCCTTTAGGGCTATGCCTCATGGGGGTTCAAAATTTTGTATTCTTATGAGTAATTCATATTTAAACGGAATTAAAGAATTTTGCTAGCTGCTTTAAGTACGGTAAACAAGTTGGTTCTATGATTTAATAGCATTCAAAAGTTACAAGGTTTACCAACAGGGTGTAGAACTATTAATTTTTTTGCATCTATGACAACAGCTAATTTAAACTAAGCAAGTAAAAAAGCTATGATACACAACGAGAACTGTCAAAGTAGGATTGTTTACGGTTATGATTATGTTTTTAATTTAATAAATAATTTGTGATATTGTGCAAATGTTTGATAATTTATGGTAGATCTATGGTCTATAGTAAATATGTTAATACTATAGCAAACCGTAAATTTAAAAAACCAAATTTTCTCAAACCTTGTCCTCCACCATTGAAAATGAAAACCCAGAGCACGAGTATAGCTGCAATAAGCATTTTATACTTATACGCCAAACCCGCACAAAGGACGGAGGATACCGTACTCTGCTAGTTTATTATAAAGAAGAGGTCATACGTGTTTATATGCCTGTACTTGGTAAACAGACTGAGTTTAAATTTCAGAAATACAGCTATTGCAGCCAGTATTTATTTTTAACTATTCCCATTTTGATATTTCTGACCGCCCCGTGGGCATTCAAAATTGAAGTGAGGCTTTTAAAAGTGTTTGATTCTGATCATGGTCTTCATGGCAACAATGAGAAACTCACAAAGACATTTTTGGTTTGATAACTTCAATGTAAACATGTAGAACTGTCATTGATTTATCATTGCCTCCAGAATTGATTTATGACGGGAATAATTAGATTTTTCTTTTGTTTGTTATTAAGCCAGTGGCATTTTTGTAATGAAGTAAGTCAAACGCTTTTATGGGAAAGCGGTCCAAACCCATGAACCTGATTTACTTATCTTAAGTCATCAATCTTATTACAGAGGTAGGCATCAAGATCCTCTAACAATATTGTTTTGACCAAACCAATCTTAATCCCAGACTAAAGGCAACTATAGGGAAATTCTCCTGTTACACATGTAATAACAACAGTAAAATAATTACTGTATATTATAAGTTTCAAAAATGATAACGTAGATTTACATTTTTTTAACTTTCAAGAATTAAGATTGCATAAAGTTAAGAAATTTAACAAGAATAAACCCTAAAATGGACAATAAAATTGAATTTTACAAATATAACGCTAATATACATATTTTGATATAACAAGAAATCAGTTATAAACATTTCAAAACTTGGTAACTTATGTTACATAGTATTAAGCTCCCAATTTATGCTTCAAAGCTGAAATAAATTACTACAAACTATGAAAAATACACATATTTTGACATTGGTAGTTTAAGGAATGTTCCTACAACTTGCTCTCTGATATACAATATCAAGCTATTGTTGAAAATAACAATAAGATTAGAAAATAAATATATTTTATATTTTTGAAGAAGTTTCAATCACAGTTTGATCAATAAACACTTTTAGAAACAGTATCAACAAACATTAAAATATTTAGATAAATAACATAAAATAAATCTAGTTAGTTATTAAATGTTACAAAAATAATATAAAGATAACAATGTTACAATTGAAAACATTCATATATTTGAAAAATATTCAAGCAACTCTATATTCAAGTTTTATTTACCATATTCACACTCAGAAGGTAACGATTTAAAAATTAATTATTTATAAGCGAGTTTTTTGCTTACGTTAAGCTTAAAAACTTAACTTCTAAATGTTTTGCTTAACAAAATTTACACGACTAGGTATTCCTAAACAATATTCTTCATAAATTCTATAGTCTATAATCATATGGTTATATTCTCCGTAAATATTCTATTTACAGCTGTGATATGTTTTGTAAGCTTAAATCTATGATATGTATGGAATGATATGTTTGTATCCTTGGTCTACACACAAGCTGAGCACCGAGTTGATATGTTTACATTACAATTACAATACATTACTCTATTTAGGCAATTTGATATGCTTCATTAGAACACTATGGTACCTACTGTACTAAAATGCTTCACTAGAACACAGAACATTTTATGACTATACTGTATACATTACAGGTAAAATGTAAGGATCACAAATGTAAAGAAGTGTAATCCAATTAAAGAAAAAAATCAAGCAACCATAACTGATTTTAAATAAACATTCCTTTGGATTACTGTGAAATACAGTATAGAATTAAATATTTTAAAAATAATATTAAAACCCTATACTTTTTAATTCCTAATGGTAGTGTACACTTATGGTGTCGATGTTTCTAATGACACAAATTTTGTGTGCAAAATTACTAAATTAGGTGAATCCTGAATCCAAGGCCTTTTGTTACCACGAATGTACAACTAATAATCATTATTTCTCAGCTATTTATTATTTGATCTTTTTACACTTGGTGTAGTTTGATAGAACATTTTGAATACTAAATAAAAGTGTCATTTTAATTTTTTTATAAAAACAGCCTTTCTTTAGCAATTTTAGTTATATAAAACTAATAAGGCCCCCATTTTGAAACAAAAAAAATCTTTTTTATGATTATTTTTTTAACACATTATGACTTAATAACATTGTGATTTCGTAAATGTATCTTAATTAATAGTTCTTGAGATATAAATAAAAAAATAAAAAATGGCGGATATCTCACTAATGAGACATTTTCAGAAAAAAATGTTATTCTTGATTTTCGTTTTATTTTGACCCAATAAACCTATTCCTTAATTCTTTGTACTTACTTATGGGACACTCTGTATATTGGTTCTGTGTCATTACATATACAGCTAATAATTTTGTGGTCTATTGCCAATATGGAACATAACTTTTTCATTATTGTAAGTTTGAAAATACTAATTTGGACATCCATACATGTACTACCACTACCCAGAAAAAATTAATACGTTACAGTAAAATAAATAAATGATAGGATTTATTTCTGGCGCTGCATGAGAAGAGTTTGCATGGCGTTAAGGCTGTCTTCGACGCTCTGGGCAAATCTAGAGGCTTTTGTAGTCTCAGAGGAGTAAAAGGCAGAAATGCAGAAAATGATTTGTGAGGCTTTTGGATTGTAAGAGGCGCCATAACCGTCAGGCACCACTGGTCCATAGCCCATGAAACTGTCTGACTTAGTGGCTACCTGCAGGGTAAAAAAACAGTGTGAAGCAATAAGCATGTAGAACATATAGTAAACATAAACAAGAGTAGCTTCGGGGCAGAGGCCATTATACAAACAAGGATAAAAGCTTACATTTGCCAAAATTAAAAAAAAAATATTTAACTAAAAGAAAATTGCAGATCTCATTTTGAAATATCTCAGGAAAAAGTTTGGATATTCAACAATGATTTCCATTAGCTTCCTGACACATAAATTTAGTAACAGCTACTAAATTATAGGCTAGCCCATTCAATTCCTTCAACTAAAAAAATGTAAAGGAAAAATAAAAAAATAAAGGGAAACAAAGTAAAGTGGCTGTTTGATCTATATGTAATTTTATCTTGAAGAGATTTATGTACACATTGTTAGAAAACTGTACATTTGGGAGCCACTCTTTTTATTTGCTCTTAAATACAGTAGTTTAATTAACATGTTATATTGAATCATTTCATACTTGTCTGCAAATGAAAGATTAGATAATCTAATCTAGATCTAATTTAGATTAGATTTAGATTTTGATGCTTTTCCAAAGGTTTGTTACTGACATATTTTGGACATTTTGGGTCTCTGATTGTCTAATATGCTCGGGAAACAATGCAACAAATGACATGTTTTAAGGTAAAATAAAAAATACTTTTCTAAGATTTCAGTACTAGGTGAAGTAATCACCATTCACCATGTAGTTCAACCTTCTGACATAAACGGTGTCACTGATGTTGTTGGTAATGTTTTTCTTGTCATATAGCATAGCCTCCATCTCAATAGAAACAGTGTAGATTTGGTTATAGACTGTAGATAGTTGATGTACCTGGCTGGTGGAGAGAGCAAAGTGGTTGGCTATCTTGTATGCTTCATCGGAGAACAACTCTAGCTGCAGGCCCATCTCTTTGCCTTGCTCTCGGAGACCCAACAGATGTATGTCTATACCCTGACCCAGAATATTGGCCACCATAATGTCTGTTTGGCTCTTCACTGCCTCATCAAAGAATTTTAACTTCTCCGAATCCTGAAATATTGAATATTATTAGTGGTTTTTTTGTGACAGATTCATTGGTTTTATGTTGTATTTTATTCAATAAAAATGTCAGTAATAGTTTAAAAAAGCGACTCTTCTGTGGAGAGATACACTTGTTCTTTTTTTAGCAGATAAATTCAAGTTGAGTTCAGTACCATATGGATACTGAAGAAGACATCTCATCTATATATACGGACCAGCTGTAGCCTATTTGTATTTAAAAAATAGCATAGTTGAAGGCCACCCACATAATGCGATATGGCATCGCCTCCTATAAGTTCGGAATCGCCTCCTCTAAGTCCAGGATCGCCTCCTCTAATAAAAGTCCGGCATAGCGTCCTCTAATACAAATCCGTCTCACCGAGTATATGCTGAAGGTGACTCTTCTATTTGGATGGAGAGGATCTGAGCTGCTAGAGGAGGTCTCTTCTGATTGGCTCATAGCTGCTGCCCATTGTAGAGCTGCGCTGGTGGCTGAGCGGATGCAGTCCACACGTCCCAACATGAAACGACGTGTTGACGCACTCTCGTATGTTGCTGTCAGTCTCTTGTATAATCTGCACACAAAAATATGTAACCAGGTTATTATTATTTTTTTGCTCATTTTAGAAACCAAATTGCATGCTACTGTATTTGGTTCCATTAACCAATATCCGCAGTATAGCATAGCCTATAATTTGAGGCAGTGGCGTAACTATGGGGGGGATGAGGGAGATAGACTCCCCCAAAGGTAAAAAAAAGCTGCTTTAGTTAGGCTGAATAACCTCCTCCTTAATGGTTTAATAATGCACATTGTTCACAGAGGATCGATCAGGAATTGTCGCGGGTAATTTCATAATCTTTGCAAATAAAATCGGGGATTTCCAGTGGTGATTACGTGGAAATCATATTAGGTTGGCAACACTGCCGCTCATGCGCTGTAAGTTTAAGTTTTCAGCCTGTTAAAATCAATTTATAATAAAAACTCAGTAGATATGGCTCTTCACGCGCAGCTCAGAAGGCTACAGTACAACAACAACTTAATGATAATTTCTTTGTTTATTGTTTTGTGATTATGATTTAGTTACCGTACTTGCTATTTCCTAATTCTGACCGGCTAGAGAAAGCCTCAATTGGGTTGATTTTTGGAGTTATTTTGAACATGATTACACCTCTGGAATGCCTAAAAACACGAGTTTGTGAGTTCTAATTTTTCAAAATTTTGGGATACCCCCCAGGCCCCCCTTTGTTGGGGCTCCTCCACCCCCCCTCCCCACAAAGCCATGTTCTAGCATTGACTATTGGATACAGAAGAAGACATCCCATCTATATGGATCAGCTGTCGCGAATTTTTGTGTGAGCCAGTCACAGATTGCTCTAGTGTCTAAAACTCTATTTTGTAACTTATTTTTTGTTACTGACATAGTTAATGGGTCATAACAGTTGCTATACCTAGCTCATAATAAGTCATTCCATCAGTTTGAATTGGTAAAAGACATAGTGTAGTCGGTAGAAACCAGTAATTTATATCAGTGCAATCTGTAGGGGGCTCAAATCAACTAAGACAAATTTGATCAAAAACGTGGCGACAACTTTAATATAGGGATGGAATGTCTAAGTCAAAGGTTCTAGTTACGCCACTGTTTTGAAGTTAATTGCTACTATGTAACTATTCATTTCCCTTAATTAATTAGAAGTACAGTAGACTTAAGCTAACTTGCATTAACTGATAATTGGACTATCCGCCCTTGCTCGTAAAATGTTACAGTTTGGTTTAACCGACCTTGTTTTGAGAGCAGTTTGGTTTAACTGCTGCTAAAAATGTCGGTATTTCTGCTCCCTCGCGAATAATACGCTAAACTCTTCAGTATATTACTTCCACTGAAAGTTGTTTTGAGTTTATTTGTAGTTTTATTTTGGAGCTCGATGAAGACCTCAATTCACTGACAATCCTCGTACGATTTGCAAGGATAAAACAGTACTCACTTGTAATAAGCCAGCTGTAATGCAAGTTGGATGTAAGCATCAGGACTAACGTTGCAGGACTTGATAAAGTCTTTACCATATCCGTTGAACCGATAGACGTAAAAATCCAAATCTTCAACCAAACTGGAACAAAATAAAATGGTTGTAGTTTTAAAGAAAATAGATTTTATACAGTATAGCGTCACTTTAAGCTTGTATTGCTTGAATAGTTAATAGTTAATTTAGCTGTAAGTGTGAAGGTATTATTGTAATGGGTGGTACTAACGACGTAGATGTGAACGGACGCTATATGGCTGACTTTGAACAAATTGAGGCTACACTTCCTAGACTCTCTGATAGGAGGGTGGTCTTGGTCGGTCTCACAACAAGACATATGATAAACCCACCCTAAATCATACTGTGACTGAAGTTAACAGCAACCTCCTTGACATTTCTCTTATGTTTGATCATGTTGAATTTCTACCTTTGGATAAAATCTCCCGTTCTCGATTTACAAGGCATGATCTTTATTTGAATTTCAAAGGAAAGGGTTTATTGGCAGAGAAGAAAATACTAGTAGTGGCCGGTTATAGACCACCCTCAAGCTGCAATGAAGTCTTTTTACAGCCTTAGGTGGTTGCTTAAACAAGTTTGAGAAAATCCACATGAAAACTGTAGTATTAGGAGATTTTAACATATACCTTTCCATCAACAGCTTCACAAGTCACAGACTCACCATAGAAATGTCATTATATGGCTTGTATAATGTAATGTCATCCTACACAACAGAAGCATTAGGTTCTAAAACTCTAATTGCCAACATTTTCACTGATGATCACCAAACCAAAAGTGAAGTAGTGAAGTACACATTGTTCGATCACTACACTGTAATAGCAATTTCTAAAATGAAAACAGTAAGTTCCAAAATACTGAGACACAGTTGAAATTACCTTTAGCATATCAAATATAAACACATTTAAGATCTTAGTTCAGAGAAAAAATTGAATGAAGTTTTTAGTGCACAGGGATTAGATGCGTTGTACCGGTACAAAGAGTTCAGCTCCCAGCTTCAATATTACTTTAATGTGACATTCCCAAGGAAGTGCAATGAAATCAAAAGTAAAGACAAGGAAAAGATTGTATTTCCAGAAGAACTCTTTAAACTAAAAGCAAATGCTTTGCAGTATACGAGAAATCCAAACATCTAAGTACTGACCATTTCCTAAAACAATATTACCATTACCTCAGATTAAAATACAAATACCGGGACAAAAAAATTCAAATGTAAAAGCGCAAATTAATATTGGAAAATATCAAAAATTCTGAAAACAAAAGTAAAACCATCTGGACGACAATTAATGACAATCGACAAAAACAAGGAAAAGAGTGGTAAACTATCCATTTTGTAAATAGACAAGGAGAGCGAGCCATAAACAGTATGTGAGCAACAAGCATTTCACCAGTATAGGTGATAATTTGCCAAGCGAAGTAAAAAATGATTTAATAACAAACGACACACACAAAGCTCAGTCCTGTTTTCTTGCCCCATTCACAGAAAGTGAAATAAAAAGTATTATCAAATCAATTAAAAGTAAAACGTTGGCTGGAGTTTATGAAATATCTCATAAAATGCTGAAGACGGTCGGCAAATATGTAGCTAGAGCTAGACCATTATGCCACCTAGTAAACCTTTCATTTGTCGAGGGGACATTTCCATCAGCCCTGAAGCTTAGGATTCGATCATGTCAGATTAAAATAACACGGTACCACAGACTATAGACCAATTAATGGTCTACTAGTGTACATGTTGCTCGAATTCAAGCAATTGCAAAGTATTACAGAAGTTATTTCAAAACGAATAACAGTCAAATTTACAATGAGTTTAAAAGAGTCAACTCAAAGATTACTGGTGTGTAACTCAGACCATGTTTATCTTCGTTATTGATAAACCTAAAGCATTCCGGCCGGTTTTCTCCTTCTCAAAATGTCTCGCTGTACAGGCAACACGTGTCAATTGATAGAGGGCTGATTGAGAACGAAAAATCGTTTTTGGGTAGTGTTAGGGTGCATTTGTAACCTAATAGTTGAGATTGTCCAGGGTCAGGTGCTGACTGTGATGAGTTAAGCCTATTACGCGCCACTGTTCTGTAGCTGCGGTCGTTATCATGATTACGCCTCCTGTCTATGTTTCGTTGTCGTCGCGTCGGAGACATTTAAAAGAAAGAAACAATAAATAAACAAATTATCGCTACACAAAACAACGATAAATGCACAAATTTAAGTTACAATCATGCTAATACGATCCGTCATAGCGACACAAAACAACGATAAATACACACATTTAAGATACAACCATACTAACACGATCCGTCTTAGAGGTTATGTTTACACTAACTCAAATGGTAAATAAATGTACTCAATGTGTTTCATTGAATTGAAAAATAAATAACAGCAATTAAATTATACAGCTGATCAAAATGTAAACAATTAAGTTCTCCATAAGGATAACATGGGAACTTTCAAAGCCACTGGGGCAGAGCCCAAGGGACTTTAAAAAAATGTAAGACCAGTTTGCAAATCTACGCGACATGCTCTTTCCAATGAGATGTCAATGGATAAAATCGGTTAAGAAATGGCGGAGGAGTTCAACCGACAAAGTTTCATGTAGCTTATTTAATTATATAGATTGTCTGTGACGGTAATAAGTATTCCTGAAATATCTGTTAGTAAAGTAAATGTTACAAAATGGTATTGACACTGTTATAAATATCTTGTTTCTACCTACTGGCAAATAAGCATATGGTAGAATGCATCTTTTTAAATCTAAATTAAAATAATGTTTAAGTTTGCATTATTTATATTCAGTACTGTTATTTTATAAAATATTTTTTCTAAAATAAATAAAAGTTTTATAAGTAGATTAACAAGGTACATAATGACTTCAAAGTTACTGTACAGTACATTTGTAGTTCAGAAGACATATGATTTATTCACTCACTTGTCAATGGAGTGGGAAGCGTCCCTGATGTGTTTCTCTAGAGTAGTGTCCAGGTTCCATCGCAGAGGCCGTAGTGCAGTACATGATGGAGGGATGGATGTCTTGCCTGGTCCCAGATCTTTGCAGGCATCTAGCCAATCCTCCATCAGCTGTATGACGGCGATACCCTCTGATGGTGAGTGCTCGTAGCACAAACCACACACACCATCCGGACACAGCACCAACTGGTGACGACATGAACATTTTACAATCTGATCACTACTACGCTTTTATCATATGTCTATTTACTGAGATACTCTTAAAGTGCCAAACATAATACTTCATCTAACATCAAATCCATGTAATAAATTAATTGATATAAATTGCTTGTTCATAACTTTTCTCGATGACAATATTATAAATTTGAAGTGAGATTTTAAAATGTCCTTTTGTACGTTCCTTTCAACTAGAAGCGTAAGTACCATAATTATTTATTTATTTTTTATTTTTTTTGTGAATTTCCCTTGTAGGGAATAAGCTATTACCTAACGTCTCGGGGTGATACCTGGGACTGATTTTCCTTTTCATTTTGATATCCCCAGATTGGCCAAAAACACCATCTGTTCAAATTCACTTACTATGTATGTGTCCGTTAGGTATGTGTCCGTTAGGAAGATAACTCGAGTAAAAAACCTGAATTTGATGGTACAAACTTTATTTGAACGAGTTTGCGAATTAGCATTATCGACCCATGAGAATGGGGTTTTATGGAATAAATATTGGTTTTCCAATTTTTGCTTCTTAAAACATTAAAAACATCTTAAAACTTTTGCAATGTCTTAAGACCTTAAAAAACTAATAATTTAGTACATTGAATCATTGTTGTACGCTTAGGTAATAGTTATGGATAAAAAAAAAAACAATAGTTTTAAATTTCTTATGTTATTGTTATGGGGATTAAATAAATTGTAGAAGTTTGCAGCATTAGTTTAGGCAGCGTCCTAGGTGAGCGACGAAAAATTGGTTGGTCTTTCCTGCGAGCGATTCTAGTATGACGACGGAATTGAGTTTCCACACTGGGATGTGCCGTCGTCACAGGGCCATTTGACCATTATTAGGTACCATGTTGTTGGTTGAGAAAAGACGTAAGCTCGTGCTGCTGGACAGTTCTTCCATAATCTATGCTTACCTTAAAAAGAAATCATTCGACCGCAGGAGCTGAGAGTTGTAGAGTACCTGCTAGAAATGAGAGTTTTAAGGGACGTATGAATTTGGTGGGTTTCATCATTCATATGAAATATTAAGATCGTATCCTGAACTTTATAAAAACCACACTCGGTCGCCCAACTAGTACGCTCTCATGCTTATCCACGCGTTTGAAAATTGTTGGTGTGATGAATTAGCTCGCATGGACGACCGACGGATTTTTTGTCTTTCAGCTAGGACGGGGCCTTATGGTTAAATTTTAATCAAATTTAACAAATTTATTTATTTCATACTTAGCTATTGTCAATTCACTAAAATAATTTATCAGGTTCACTGTCATCAAACCAAGTGATCATTAAATCTAATGCAATTTTACATTTTAAAGGAAATATTTTAATGAAAATCGAATCATGCAAATAGAAATTTGCTGCGGCGGGCTGTTTTAATTAATGGTCTGAATATAAGTATAAGTACCGTATACCTTTTATAATAAACATGTTTCAAAAAATCTTTAGAGAAACTGGACATTCACTTAGTAGGTTTTCTGTGACATGGATATTTTTAAACGTTGTACTTAGCTTAATTTTGCTCCTTTGGTTTGCAAATGTGTGTTTTGATTTTTGTCCTTGCACTCTAGTTACCTGTATTGTTTTGTCGAACCATCTGTTCCCTGAGTTGAACGCACTTCCCCCTCCATGCAGCATCTGATGTGCCATGTTGGTTTCGTCTCTACCCTCGCCACGGTGTCCGTCCGCTCCTTTTGGCCCTGCTTTGCGGTTGAACTTACTGCTCAGTGGCTTTTGGTCCAGACAAATAACTAGAAGGCTGTTTTCTATAAGCTCTAGGTTCTGGCGATTCTTTTCGTCTGTGAAAGAATCATCATTCAAAATAAAATAAATTATTACGTACTTTTAAATATAGAAGAAATAGTTTGATCATATCCTTGAACAAACTGTCCTTATTATTGGTGAACACTCCCAATTATAAGTCTTTTTTCCAACTTTGATTTATAAATTTAATTTTACCTATTGAATTATTGAGCGGAGCGAAGCTTTTATACTACACCTCTGCTTTTGTTTTACAAATACTCCTCCTGAACAGCTGAAGTGATCTGCACTAAATTTAGCACAATCATAGTAACCAACCATGGGAAGGTATAAATCTGAAATGGTACAAATCGGACCACAGGGCTTTTCTCTATGTGGATTTAAACTTTTAGAAATTTAACATAGGCCTTATGGGTTAATTGGTTGCCATGATATTATTTGTGAGATAACAATAAAAAGGTAAACAAGAGTCACAACATATGTTACTCAACGAATCATCTAAATAGCACATTACAAATACCGTACAGAGAAAGAGGGAAGAACAATCGGATTAATATCATTGAGCATAATTTACTAAAAGTGAATAACCAATTATTATGGTCACCCGAATAAGGCTGATGCACCATTGACTTTAAATAATCCAAATAACCGTTCCATTTAGGGTATGTGAACCAAATATAGGCCTACAATTCAGTTTGGATACTGCAAGTAGACTTTCCATTTATGTGAATTAGACGTACCATTCAATAATACAGACTTTGAATAGGTACTGCAATTAGGAATTCTATTAATGTAAACCAGACGTACTGTGACTTTGAATACCGTTAAATATGTAAGAAATAAATAAATTCAGAATCAAACACAATCATAAAAGTTCATTTTAATTTCAAATCTAACCATAAACAAACAACTGTAAACAAAGTATTTTAACATGTGATTTCATATATTAAGCAACGTTAATTAAAAACATATGATTTTAGACAGTAATATCCATCAATCCTCCCCCTTTAATCGACAAGGTAGCATCTGGTTGACATGTCTTCTCCAGGTGCAGCCATCATCCATTCGCAGAACATACATTACCGTACTTTACCTTCTTTAGCTGAAACTCTTCCAAAACTCCACTTTTCCCCTTTTTGATTGTAGCGTAAAGCTTGAACCCTTTCCCCAATTTTATAAATGTGATGCCTTTTATTAGAACTCTCATTCTCATTTGCTGTTTCTAGCTTGTTTGTCTCCAGCATGAAGTCAAGACGAGTTCATATGTTTCTACCGAACATAAGGAAGTATGCATCTTTACCCGTTGAGTTTACAGACTTTCTTAGTTGCATTAGGAACATTGGTAGTTTTGTACTCATGTCTCCTCCCTCACTTTTCATTGCACTTAAGCCCTTCTTTATCGTCTGAACATATCATTCTGCTTGCCCATTTGATAAAGGGTTAAATGGAGCACATGTCCTGTGGATGCTACTGTTTATCTTCAAGAAACTTTTGTATGTATGTATGTATTTTGAATGTAAATGATATGAATTGTGGTCCATTGTCAGTTACTAGCACAGGAGGAATACCAAAAGTTGAAAATAAATTCCGAAGTGTCTTTATGCACCATTCCGAGGTTGTTATCTTTGTTGGAATAACATCAACCCATTTAGAAAATGAATCAACAATGATGAAAAAGTATTGATTTCCAGCGTATGGTCCAGCAAAATCGATGTGAATTCTCTGCCATGGCTGTTCAGCACTTTCCCACGGGTGTAGAATCACTAAGCTTGGTCGATTCTGTTTTTGGCAACACTCTTTGCATGTTTTTGCCAAATTCTCTATGTCGTTATCTATGTCCTTCCAGTAACAATAACTTCTAGCTAACCCCTTCATCTTTACAATGCCTAAATGTCCAACGTGAAGTTCCTGTAAGTTACTCTGCAAACTGGTTGGAATCACTATTCTGTTTCCTTTAAACAAGCAATCATCCTGGAGAGCAAATTCATGATCATGTAAACCAATTCTTTTGATACTTTTTCCTTCTTTAAGTAATTTAATAATTTCTTTTGTTGTGCTGTCATTGTAAGATTCTCTGGCAATCTCTTCTTTAGTGACTGGCATTCAACTGACTTAATTGAAACACAGCATTATCATCCATGAAATCATCAGGTGTGCTCTCAACTGGAAATCGTGAAAGAAAATCAGCATTCGAATGGTCTTGTGTTCTGCGAAATTCAACAGTGTAGTTAAACCCTGAAAGGAAGTGTGCATAGTTAAAGATCCTTGTAACTGTCAGTTGGTAAAGTTCTATGTGGATCGAAAATAGATACTAAAGGCTTATGATCTGTAATCAGTACAAACTAACGACCATAACAGTAAGAGAAAAATATTTTCAACCCCCAGTATATTGCAGTTGCTTCCTTATCTATTTGGCTGTATTTTTGTTCACTCTTTGTCAATGTTGGGGAGGCAAAAGCTATTGGTCTTTCAGTGGCATCTTTTATTTGATGTGATAGGACAGCCCCAAGGCCTACTGGAGAAGCATCTGTAGCAAGAACCAAGGGTAGCGAAGGATCAAAATGAGCTAAGTTCCGTTCATTTGCAATTTCTTCTTTCACTTTCTTGAAGCTTTGTTCACAAGCTGATGTCCCCTTAAATGGTTTGTTCTTCTTTAGCAAATTGTTCAAAGGATAAACTATATCAGAAAAGCATGAAATAAATTTACTGTAGTAAGTCACCTAACCTAGGAATGACCTTAGTTCATTGATGTTCGAAGGTCGTTTTGCATTAGTTTTCTTCAACTTTTTCAGTACTCTTGCGTAAACCATTGTTATCAATTACATGTCCCGAGTATTTTATGCTCTTCTGAAAGAATTTGCATTTCTCTCTGTTCAATCGTACATTCTTGCTACGTATCACATTCAGTAGGTACTTGTTTTAATCTTTGTAAAGTTTCTTCAAATGTAGATCCTTGTACAAATATGTCATCAAAGAAACACTATACTCCAACCAGACCTTGTAATGTTGAGTCCATGAATCTTTGCCAGATAGATGGAGCGACCTTCACTCCAAACGTAAGGCGATTGACCTTAAAAAGTCCTTTGTGTGTGCTTAAGGTTTACATTTTAGCACTTTCATCGTCCATTACCATATGTAAGTATGCATTACTTATGTCAAGTGTACAAAAATATTTCCCTCCACTCATGTTTGAGAAATTGTCTTCTATTCTTGGTATGAGATAGTTTACCTCTTCAATTACTTTATTGAGTGTAACCTTGTAGTCGGCACGTCTCACATTGCCATTTTTTGGTTTTATTACTGGAACCACAGGGGTTCCCCAAGCAGAGTTTTAGACCTTAGTAATGATATGTTCATGTTCCAATCGTTCAATCTCCCTCTCCAACTTACATTTTATTGCGTATGGTACTTGTCTTGGCTTTATGTAAATAGGTGTAGTGTTTTCCATCACCTGAAATTTAGCTTTGAAGTCAGGAATCTCCCCAATTTCTGTCTTGAAAATATCTTCATATTCTTTATTTAAGGATGTCAACTGATATCCATTTGTTTCTTCAACTGCCCTCATGTCTGCCCAATCAAGTTTAACCTCTCTCATCCACTCACGTCCAAATATAGCATCAAATTGGTGATCTATTACGTATAGCTTCCCAATGAATCTTTGTCCCTTGTAGTTGCATTTCACAAAAGCTACGCCACACGGTTTTATTATTTCTCCTGTGTATGTACGTAGTTCAACTGCAGTTGATAGAAGCTTTTTGTTCGGAAAATGGTGTTGAAAGTCTTTTAGGGAAATGGAGCTCAATGATGCGCCTGTATCTAACTCAAATAACATGTCCTTGCCATCCACTGATAATTTTGCATTCAATTTACCTCTGTCTTTTGAATTTGAAAGTAAATGTATGTTATGCAAGTCGTTTCCACCCTCTTCTTCGAAAGCTTCTTCTTCAGCATAGTGAACTGATTTTTGTAACTTGCCTTTACTCATGCATACACGAGCAATATGACCAATTTTATTGCAAGAATGACATGTTTCTTTTTTCTATTTACATTTATCCATATGTGATTCATTTCCACAACGATAACACTTTCCTCTTAAAGAATCGAAACTCAAGGTAGTTTTATCAATTTTCGCAGTAGGTTTCATGGGATACCTTGTATTCCTTATATCTTTATTTGTAGGCACTGGTACTTGCTGACTTTTGTATTTGACTTGATTCACGTGTCTAGCAAAATGTTGCTCAGTAATCATTGCACTTTCTGTTTTTGATAGCTCTATTCCAGTTGCTGTCCTGAATAACTCTAGAAATGTTCTCAATTCACGTTCTTGAAAGAGTCTTGTTCTTATTTCTGGGTCATTTAGTCCTCTGACAAACTGTAATCGTGAAAATATGTCACAAACAGATTTTCCACATCCACAGTTGAACTCACAGTTTGTAGATAACCTTTTAAAGTCTGTTGAAAAATCTGTAACTGATTCTCCATTCGGTTGTTCTCTAAGTACAAATTTGTGTTGTAACGCTAGTGTACTTTGCTTGAGGATCCAAGTATTGTTGTAATAAATGTACTAGTTCTTCGTATGTTTTGTTACTTGGATCATCTGGTGAGCAAATGTCGTACAGCTTTCGATGGATTAATGGTGTAAGAGCATGTAAGAATGTCAATGTTTTCTGATTTTGGTCCTTTATGCATTTTAGTTCCATAAAAGTACCTAAAAGTTTCTAAAATTTTGGAAACTTCCCTTTCATTGTAGGGTTCAAAGTTTAGATTGGAGGTTGTCATATTTGTTGTAGCAGTATGCTGAATTCGATCTTTTGAACAATCAATACCTGATGTATTAATTAGGGTTTATAACATTACCTTGGTAGCAATTGTGGTGTTTTCAATTTCTTGTCTGTAAGCGAGTTCATCTTCATTATCATCTTCATCAATCATTAATGCAATGTGGTCCTGTACTATCTCTAATTTAATGTGCAGTTCATTCAAATGTTGTAGCTGATGCATCTGTAGACTGTAGACACTTTGTGCTCTTTCAATAGTTTTGTGATATTTGTAAGCTGAGCTTTCAAGGATCTTCTGAGATTTTTGTACTTGATTTTCCTCTCATTCTCCTTCTATTTGTTCAATTGTTCACTGTAGGTCCCTTAGTTGCCATTAGCTGTAAGGGCTATTAATTAACAGCTGTGTCTAAGAAATATGTTGGCCTTAGTCACTTACAAGACGACAAGATCGCACCACTCATCCTACACTCATCTACATTCATACTTTGCTTAAAATACCTAATTTGTATGGTCGCCATTTCATTGAAAAATATTAAGTACTAGCTGGCCCGACAGAACGTCCTGTCCTAATGTGGTTTTATGTCAAATGCTCGTTCATTTTCAAGATGAGCTCGTTCGCATGGCTCAATCATGTCCTGGTTGGATACTGCAAATACCTAGGTATTTTATTTATGCAAACCGAATGTATCATTGTCATTGGATACTGCAAGTAGACATTTAATATATGAGAACCAGGAGATGAAATATAGACTTTGGTTCCTGCAAGTAGACAATTCATTTACGTGAACCAGACGTACCATTGACTTTGAATACTGCAAATAGACATTCCTTTTATATGAACCAAATGTACCATTGACATTGGATACTATTTACTAGGAACAGATAAAGTATTGGATTAATATGCTAGCTTCCCTCAATATTGCAAGCAGGCAACTGCATTGTACACCTAATATTTATGAGATTAAACTGTTCTACTTTCAAATTGAATCATGCTACATAAACAAAATACTCTGACGACGATTTCATGAACAACCGCTGTGATATCTAAATTCTAAGAAACACCACAAAAATAGTTTGGGCATAGGTATTAAAAAGAAATAAGATGATGGGTATTGTTGATAAGAAAAATACATTTAGCCTTTCAAATTGTTTAAAATTGCAAGGAACTCACAAATACTACGTTTTTGAAGTTTGCAGAGCAAGGTGTTTTTGCAATAAACTAATTAATATTAACATGACTTTGTATCATGATGTTTATTCTTGCAGCATATTTTTGGCTTTATGATGTTTGCAGACGTCGTTTGGACGCTCAAAATAGTGAACATACAATACGTGGACTATATTGATCAGTTTTGTAATAAAATGCTTTCACTTTGGATGTTGAGGTTTAGCCATATTTTTGGCTTATTGCATGGCACTAATTTGGATTGTGATCATTTTAGGTAATGGAACTCAATGGGCACTAAACAAATTCCCAAAAGAGAACCTCCTTTATTATTTATAGTAAGAGTATGACTTGAAAATACCTCTTATGAGTATCTCGCGGCTCTCTGCCCAATGGTCACGTCGCTGGGATGTGAGGATACCCACAGGCATGGACTTCCCAGGCGCTGTGGTCAAGATGTGGGCAAACTGTGAGGCCAGCTGCTCCTCTGACAACCGATCTCCTGTACCATCCTTCCGCAGGTACAGAACATACAACTGTAAACATATGGTACATCAGTCCTGTAACTTAACACAACATTGAAATATATCACTTTAACTATATGTTAATGACCCTATCAAACAAAGAGGGCAATGTTAGGAAGCAAGACAGGGTTTGGACAGTTGTCAATGCCGTAGAGAGACACAAACTATTTCCATTGACTTTTGGATACTGAAGTAGATACAAGAAGCTCAAAACTAGACCCAGCTGCTGTTGATCATTGGGCTTTTAATGTAAAAATTGTTCTAGCTAATGAACAAGAGTCACCTAGAGCTATCATGAATTAATACAAAAATTAATGTTTTTTAAAACTCCTAAACTAAAATACATGTACAAAGGTTAATATGTTATGAAATGCAGTTTTAGGAGATTTATTCATTTTCAGCAAACTTCCCTTATTGAGCGAAGCTCACTTTCCCTCACTTTGTAACTTCTTTGTAAGAGCATCAGAATGTAATGGCTTGACCAATTGATATGAAATTTGGCCAACAGCTAAAGAATACTGAGCACAATGTTTATGGTAAAAAATATTTGCAAATTTCATTCTGGATTTTATTTTACGGGTCACACAATTTTGCTTGTTATTTTAATGTAAGTTGAAAGAAAAATTATATTGGGTTTATGACATATGGGTTTATCTCGTTTCATTTAAATAAGATAAACATATGTTAATTGTTTGTAACTGTTTTGTTTACATTTCAATCCTAGGTTAAAGTTGGAATGTAACAGTTTATCAATGGAAGTAGCAGTTTTGCTATATTTGTTTTTAGCATGCCTCTTAGCCATTGACAATCTTTAAATAATGCTTCGCTCATTTATGCGTCTAAAGTGTAACGGCAGACCACCCTAGTAGGATATAGGCTGTTACTGAAGGTCTCATTACACGACCCAAACCCGAGACCGATTTACTTTTACTTTCTCACCCTATATATAATAAATACGCTACATGAAACTTTGTCGGTTGAACTTCTCCGCCATTTCTTAACCGATTTTATCCATTGACATCACATTGGAAAGAGCGTATTGCGTAGATTTGCAAACTGGTCTTAAATTTTTTTTTTGTCCCTTGGGCTCTGCCCCACTGGCTTTGAAAGTTCCCATGTTATCCTTATGAAGAACATAATTGTTTACATTTTGATCAACTGTATATAATTTAATTGTGTTATTTATTTTTTCAATTCAATGAAACGCATTGAGTACCTACATTTATTTACTATTTGAGTTTGTGTAAACATAACCCCCAAGACGGATCGTGTTAGCATGATTGTAACTTAAATTTGTGCATTTATTGTTGTTTTGTGTAGCTATTATTTGTTTATTTTAGCGAATTTCCCATATAGGGAATAAGCTATTACCGTAGTACTCATGGTAAGACCTGGACCCGGGACCGATTTTTTTTTAGTTTTGAGGTCCCTAGAGGCCAAAAACACCATCCGTTCAAATTCATATATATTATGTGTGTCCATTAGCGCTATAACTCGAGCAAAAATGATCCGATTTTGATGAAATTTTGTACAAACGTGTGAACCTACATTTATTCGAACGAGTTCGCGACCAGCATGATCGGACTATGGGAATGGGGTGAAAATGGGTTTTTTTTTATTTTGTAAAGCTTAAAAAAAAACAAATAATTTAGTATATTGAAGCGTTATAATGCGCCAAATGGTTACGGAGAAAATTCCAAATAATTGTAAATTTAAAATTCCCATGTTATTCTTATGGAGAATAAGTAAACTGTTGTAGTTTGCTTGTTTATTTACATACTAGCTGTACCCGCGGGCTTTGCCCCGTTTAACTTCACAAGTGATGAGCTCGTTCCCATGGCTCAATCACGTCCTGGTTGAAGTTCGTTCGCTACGCTCACTCACCTTTAGGTTGGAGCTCGTTCGCTCCACTCACTTGCCTTCAGGTTAGCTCGTTCGCTACGCTAACTCGCTTCCAGGTTAAAGTTCGTTCGCTACGCTCACTCACCTTTTGTTTGCAAATTGGCTGTAGTCATAAATTTAAAAAAAATAATAGCGCTGCACCCTGTTGGTAATCCTTGTAACTTTAATGCTATTGAACATCATAGAACAGAACCAACTTGTTTAATTGAAACAGCTGTTAAGATTAATTAATTCCTTTTAAATATGAAAAATCATAAGGTTAACATGGGAAACTCCACAGCCACTGGGGCGGAGCCCGAAAGCCCGATCAGAATAAAAACTACTTAGTTTTCCTATTTAATGCCCAAAGAATCGGTGTACCGAATTTCAGCCTCCTAGGTAAATGGGAAGTGGGAGAATTAGTGATGAGTGAGTGAGTGAGTGTGTCAGTCAGTGAGGGCTTTGCCTTTTATATATTTAGATTTTGCCCAAATTTGTAAAATGTTTTTAATTCTTACTAACTATTAACATTTTACATAAAAAAAAAACACTTACCCTTACTGTTGCAGCAAACCTAATTATGTGTTAAACTGATTCTATTTAAATAGGGAATACACATGTGATATTTTTAAGGAGACATTTCAGTGTAAATTCAATCAGGCAAATAGAAATTCGCTTAGTCTGCAGGTTTGCTGCGGTGGGGGTATTTTGTTTTTTTCTTTTAAATGCCTCCGACGCGAAGACAACAAAACATAGACAGGAGGCGTAATCGTGATAACAACCACAGCTACAGAACAGTGGCGCGTAATAGGCTTAACTCATCACAGTCAGCACCTGACCCTGGACAATTTCAACTATTAGGTTACAAATGCGCCCTAACGCTACCCCAAAACGACTTTTTGTTCTCAATTGGCCCTCTAATGACCTGTGTTGCCTGTACAGCGACGCATTTTGAGAAGGAGAAAACCGGCCGGAATGCTTTAGGTTTAGCAATAACGAAGATTAACGTGTTCTGAGTTACACACCGGTAATATTTGAGTTGAATCTTTTAAACTAATATGACTGTTATTCGTTTTGAAATAACTCCTGTAACTCCTGTTAACTTTGCAATTGCTCGAATTCGAGCAACGTGTACACTAGTACAATAGTACTAGCGATCCTGGGGCACGTAATCGTGTGCAATCTAGGCATAGGAGTAGAAAGGATTAATATAGATTTTTTATTTGGCGTTTTTTGGTTTCTTGGTTTTATTGTTAAAGCCTGTTGTTCCCAACACCAACTCTGGGGCTATATGTCTGGGGCTTATTTGCCAGGCCGATTCCCTGTGAAAAATCTTTTCTTCTTAGGCTTCGGCCACCTTCAATCCTCGTCCAGACACACTATGTGTCCAAAACAGCATGGCTCCCTTCCCCCTACCACCCTGAGCAATCATTGGGGTTCGCTCTAAACTTACCTCTCCCCTTCACGGGAAGTTTTCATTCCTTTTCTTTCTTCATTTTTGTTTGTTTCTTTTTTTAATTTAAAAGCCTGTATGTCTGTATGTACCCTTGGTTCTTCCTATTTTCCTAGCTACATTCCTAAACGTCTCACTCGTTTCCTTGTCCCTCATCAAGGTTTATTTTCTCATCTCATCTCTAGACCTATCAAAGACTTCTTCCTGTTCTCTCCTATTTGGGTCCTGAAGTGGACAATTCATCAACACATGATATTTTTTTCTGCACCTGCATACTTCCTCTTTCACCATGTTAAATCTCCACAAATTCACCTTGAAATTGTCCATGTCCTGTGACAAACTGTGTTCAATAATGGCCCATCTCCCAATCTTGTTCCAGTCTCCTTCTGATGTTATGGCATATATACAGACGTTTCCCTTTCTTTCTCATCTGCTCCCAGCGCATTTGCCACTCATCTAATGTATCATCTCTTCTGGAACTCTTGCTTTCCGACCTAGTCCTACCTGCGGCCTTGTCTTCCAAAATCCTAATCCTTTCTTCAATGAGCAGGTTGAGTGGTATAAATCGTATCTTGCGATACTGTGTTTTATTTCCTACTCTCAACAAAACTTTTCTTTGCATCCTCAAAAGTTTCCTTTTCGATCTCATCTTCCTAGCATCCTTACCCCAGAACTCGCATCCGCAAATCATTGCTGGCTCAACACGCTTTTTACAGCTTCATCAAATACTTGGCCCAGTCATGCCTCTATTGGCTCTGGCCTGTCCTGCTAATTTCGCGAAGACTCCTTTCATTTTTTTGCATATTTTCTCCACATGTTTTTCGTCACTCCTTTACCTACAGTCATTCCTTAATCAAGCCTGACAACATATCAAGATTACTTTTTAACACAACAATGGCGTTTTCCGGAATTTTTGGGACCCGCCCATCCTACCTTCTGATATCATCAAATGTTATTTTCGGATATGAAAAACATGTCTAAAACTTATGTCAATAATTTCTGATCATTTTTCTTCTGCAACTATCATAAATAACCATACACAAGAATGCAGGTGCCATCCCTTACAATAGATAAAATTGGATAAAAAAGTATTCTTCCTTCAATATTGATATTCTCCACTCATAATATCCTGTTATTTAGTTTCAGTAAAACAAAGATCGTAAAAATCACAACAAATAGTGTAACGGCTGTACTGTCAGTTGACTTTTGAATTCATTGAACCTTTATAAACGTGTTTTGCAGTGAAACACCACTTTTTAAACCACAAAACAGCTAGAGTATATTTTTATCTTTTCAAGAAATCTAATAAATCCTCATTCCTTCCACCATGATAAATCCTTATAGTTCATGTTTCCATTAATTTCAAACAGAGGAATCAGTATTTTTAATGTTGTATTTTACATTTTGTTTACTGTACTACTCTACGAGTTGTTATTCACCCTTTATATACTGGTACCTACTTTTATTTTTATAAATGTTTGTAAGCTCGATAACTGGAGTAAAGGGGATACGATTTTGATTAAATTTAGTACAAACATGTAAATCGATGTTTATTCAAAGAAATTTGCAAACCAGCATGATTGGACTATGTGAACGGGGTTTTATGGGGAGAAAATGGGGTTTTCCCTTTTTTGACCTTCAAAACATAAAATCTTGCAAATTTTTCTAAACCATTTTGTAGAGGTAAAAATACCTAAACAATTAAGTAAATAATTGAAGCATATGCTAAATGGTACGGGATAAGTTATAGGCTTTATTGCTAGATCGTTTTGATTGGTTTGAATTAGGTTTTAAATAACTGGAATGACAAGAAACAAATTATAAACAGAAAAACCACTTGAGCGTTTCGGAACAGAAATAACATTAAATTGGTCTTCAGCTGATCCGTAAAGATGACAAGGGAATATGTATAAGTATGTTTAATCTATGGTATTAATCTATATATTTTTATTTTTAACTCCAAGTGAAGTTATCAAAACCTTTTGAAGACCAACAGAAACAGCAAAAATAATGGCTTTACTACGCTGCGAATAGAAAAAAAAGAAAAAAAAAACTTTCATCAAAGGTAAATCAAAACAAATTGTTAAACTACGTTTCCATTCCTACAAATTTGTGCCTGGCACAAATCTCCAAATTTGTAGGAATGGAAACAGCATGGCACAAGTGCCATTAGGCACAAATTTGTGCCTGCCGACTGTGTGACAAAACATGTGCCCGAGTCGCGGGCACATGTGCCCAGTTGGAATGGAAACGTCTGGGCACATGTGCCTGCAACTCGCGCATGCGCAGGTCCTCCGAACTACCGCATACTCATAGATGACTGGTATCATAACCTGAAATTTCGTTGAGTTAGTTGGAGGAAATTTGTCAAGCCACTTTGTACGCGCAAATATCTTATCAATGAATTAAATGCTCCCTCCAATGGTCTTTTAGCAAAAAAAAAACTTCTTATCCACCATCTAGGTCGTTTTTATTCTAAGTTCATTGTATGCACTAGCCATAAATAAAAAAAAACAGAGGCTGTTATGTCATCCATGGCGATTTGCAGAACACAATATAATCCAAATCAGCCACCGAACCTCACCACATCCAACTACCTTGTCTGCCAGTTGTGGTCGCGGGACTTGTGCCCATGTGCCTGGAATGGAAACGGCATGACAAACTACGTGCGACATGTGCCGCGACATGGCCTCAACATGTGCCGCGACTTTGCCTGCGACTTGTACAAATGGAAACGTAGCTTTAAGAGCATATTACAATGTATTTAAAGCATTTCGAACATTACAAAAGGATACAAAAAAATTTTTTTTCTATTCTCATTGTAACTAACTATTGTCAATGCTCTTTAACACCAACTGAGCCGGGAAACCTTTAGATAGTTTTTATTTTTTCATAAGCAACAGATGGGAAATGTACAGTATCTATGTCCATTATGTCCAATGTTAAGTTAAGTTGTAATTTCCTTTGAACATTTAAACTCAGTGTCCCAGTTGTAGGGTCATTCAACAGAAATGTCTCCTTCGTCATTGTTAAATTCAATTAATTCTAAATGACCGAATAGCAGCCTTATAACAGAGCAAGTTGATGTCCTTAAAGTTTAGTTAATAGAGTGGACTGCTAGTCAAGAACATCTTTTCAATGTTTAGTTGATTAGAAACTCACCCTAATTATTTCACCAAATTTTTTTTGAGTCTCATTAGAATATTTTTATCTAGTCCCTGGATTTATAAAGACACACTATTTTAACTTTCACTGAACACAACCACACAACATGTCTAGATGAAATCTGAATTGCTGATTCTAATAATAAAGAAGTAAACCCCAATGAAAAAGGGGGATGACGTGTGCCATGAATATAACAAGAATAAAAGTACAGTATTGTTTGATAACAGTAAATTTACAGTTACTCTCTATTTTTGTTGTTTTTAAAAATGTTTTTAATTGTATGACACATGTCTTATAAAACTATTTTTTATGAAATGAATATCCTCAATCTACAAAATACAGGAAACATAAAATTGTTGATGGTCAAAGATCCTTTAAAGGTATTTTTCTATTTTTTTTACAGATAAGTCAACTAAATCAAGGATAATTTTTTGAAATGTTTTTCTTATACAGTAACATGCTGCCCAGCAACGATGGATAAAAAGTTATAGTAATTCTGATGCCATATCTTGAATGTCGTGAGACTAAACTCGTGCAGTTTGATGAGACTGACACATTGCATGCTACATGCTCGATGCTCGCTAGGCTATTTCAGTTTGAATCAAGACATTTTGCAATGTGGTTCTAGATATTTTAAATTCTATTTTTTTCTAATGTAGAGATGCAAGAAATGATTGTGTTGATAAATCATAATAAATAAAATTTAATGTGATGTAATATAAATTGTATGATACATTGCTCAACACATAAGACAAACTTAACTCTCCGTGTGTTAACTCTTATATCTATGTATAATGACCATTGAACTAAGACCTGCAAAATAACTGTTAAATTCCTTGCCGACGGCAAATACATTTTTTTGTTAGTATTCAAAATGCTCAAAACAACATCTTATACTGAATAACAGTTGCAACATTCTTTAAACTGTAAGAGATTTTTCAATGTTATTTTGCAAAAGCGATTATATACAGATTCTGGGCAGTATTTTGCGGATTAAAAGTTTAGATAGGTATGGTTACAGGTACGGTATTGTATCAAGCATATGAATGCACAATTCTTATAGTTTGAGCTATCAAAATGTCCCATTCCAAAATCGAAATACAATGTATACAAATCTTAGTTTATATGATCACGCGTCCCATTCTTTGTTGCGGGGATAAGTTTACAACAATTAGAGTGCTCAGGTGGCAGATTCTACAAGTTCAACCTCCAATGCTTTATGGGCTGTCCACAAGTGTGGATCGAAATTCTTCCATAAGGGCTGCTTGCTTATTAGAGTTCAATAGTCATTGGTATGATTATAATCTAAATGAATAAAATAAAGAAATGGAAACTAAACCATACATGAGAGAGAGCGTGGGTTTACAGCTATGGTAGACCTGATCATTGCAGGTTACAATGATGTGTTCAGTGGTGGGGGAGGTAGAGATGAGGTTGTCTTGTTGTGTCCCTGGTACCCTGTACGACGTGAACAGTCTGTAGTACTGTGACATGCAGAGAGGCTGGCCCTTCTCTCGGGACGCCGCCCGCTCCAAAGGTAAGGCTTTCCTGTGGAAGTTGACACAATTTTGGTCTACCATACTCGTTTTTTTTTTTAGATCTAACTTCATCTGATAAAATACCACATGGACTTATAATAAAGACTTATTGAATTCTTATAATAGATTTTTTGTGATTTACACAGTAACACACTTTTATTCCAAACTTTCAAATCAAACTGGTAGATTTTACAATTATAACACTCACCTGTCTAATTTGTTTTTATGTTGAGTAGCAAGTGTAACGAGACGAGCAGCGTAGCGAGCAATGTCGGCGTTGCTGCGGAACTGTCTGGGAGGGAATACCATGCCTGGACTGACGTTGACTGGCAAACACAGTGGTATGTTGAGATACATGTCTTGTAGCCACCAGTCGTAGGCCTGAAATACATAACAAACAGACTATTGGAGATTGAGCTTGAAGTACAATGGTACAAGTGTAGGAGCCTCTAGTTATAACACACCAGCGACATACTTGTATAGCAAAAACTCAGAGAGTAATGTTCTTCCATTGGGCGATTGAATTAGAGTGACAAGCAGACTTCTTACTGCAAAAGCCCCTTCTCTCCTTTGTTGAAAACAGACCCCGAAACTTTTGCTATACTAATTCAGGTGAGGTCAACAGCTGACCTTAACCTCAACTGGCGTTGAGTTAATGAGCAGTCAAGGCCAATATGTACAATTTCATGGTGCGGAGAGTTCTTTGGACAAACCGCAAAACGGGTCTAGGTATAGTTCTTCTCCATTATCTTTGAGATGATCATGTCCATCCACAACATTCCCACTTGATGTATAACCGTAAGGTGACTACATTTTATCAGTACAGATCACCTTTGTACTACTGGCTCACTCCTTGCTTTGCTGTATACGATCCCCACACGGGCGGTTAGTCTATGTGGACGGACAAATGCAAGGTTAAAATAGGCCGCCAACCTCTAAAAAAAGGAAGCTATACCAACACGGGTAGCAGAAGAATATACATTAAAATTGTTGAGAGTGTTTAAGCTGTGGGAAAGTAGCCATCACATGTCAGGAACTGTATGAGGCAACAGCCCACTTCTCACCACATAGATGGACTTACTCAATGTATCGCTTCATTCAGCATCCTGCATCTCCGTGTATCCTGAGTTCCAATTACTGTATCAAGTAGGATGTGCTTCTCTGTTTATGCCTCGTCGTACCCACGCCGCTGGTAAATCACCTTTCTCCGTGTCAACAGGAGCTTGCAGGGACGACTTCAGCAAGTACATAACTGCTGACTTGGACACTGATGAGACTCATCACTGTCTCTCTCTCTCTCAGTGTTGCCCATGTTTCTCTATCATACAAGAGTGGTAGAACTGAATCACATTATTAAACAGCCTTCTAAAGCTGAACCAAGGACACCCTAACATTGGTATAAAACTTACTGAGGGAGAAACCCGCCTTCATCCAGCATAGCTTACCGTTCACTATAACCTCTGGGCACTTAGCAGAACGGGCAGAATAGGTGGTTTAGACGAAGGATCCTCCAACCATGATGTTGTCGAAACACCTCCTTAACAGAATGATGATCTCAGTGTGCTAAAAGCGAGTTGGAGGAAGTTGTCTGCCATCTACATGTTGATACATGTAGTCCCCTTTTTATAAAGAGGCAATGCTTTAGTGTTTTGGCCAAATTAAGTCTTAGCTGGATCATCAGTTCAATGTTGCATGCAGATATCACATAAAGCTCAGTATGCCTAACCAAGGTCGTTCAATGGCATCTCAATCCCCAGGGGCTCAGAGGCCAGAGGGCTATCGTGGGCAAACATTTCATAGGCCCGGTCCAGGTGTCATAACGTGAGTGGTTAATGGTTGCTAGGAGGATGTAAACAAACTATATTATTTTTAATATATTAGCCTATAAGATAACAATGTTACAATCACACAAATTTCAAGTTTTATTTATGTGAAAACAAATGCTAATATTTGTCGAACCAATCATGATGTGATTAATATTTTGAAATCCTCTTACAAGCCTTTAATATAGCGCTGGAGGTGGTGCCACCCCTTAGCGACGCAATCCCTCCCAATTATACTGGAAATCGTAATATTTGCTTTAGTTATAATTGGATAAACTTGGGGGAACTGGGCGAACCCCGTTGTGTAAAACCCCCTCCACCAATGTTCATTACTAGTAATCAATCGATATTGATTGTCACGTTAAAACTGTTTCCCAATGTAATCTAAACTTAATAATATAATATAATGAATAATGCAGTTTCAGCCCATAGCTGTATATAAAGATAACTAGCAACGTTGTTAATTTACTACAAATTTAACAACAGTAATCGACAACGTTCTTATGTTAATATTAAATAAATGTCTTTATTTATTTATTAACGGAAAACTCAATTTTACATATGCATACAAAAATGGCAAAACGTGACATTTCATGCTTATACACGTCATGCATGAAGATAGAGCACTAAGACTATATAAAAATGTATTAAATCTACTACAATCAACAACAATATAATATAACAATTTAACATTCAACAAGGGAAAAAACAAGTTTTGTAATTAGCTAACAATAATAAAGAAACAAAAACAAGTATCAGTATAATAATTATCTTAGTGATTGACAACGATATAACAAGCAAAATCAACATAGTACAAAACAAGAAAACATGTGCAAGGCTACGTAACAAGTAATGGATAGTGTAAGGAATCTAGATTTGCTATATCATTGGACACTTTCACATACTCCTTGTAAAGAATAATAAGCATCCGTCTTCGATAGGAAGTTGTAATACATGAGAACTTGTACACTTTATCAAAAGGCTGATAGGCCTACAGACATGCGTGTTGTGACACGAACTAGAGTTTTACAAACCGAGGTTGGAACATGAGCGAGTGTCGGAAAGAATCTTTTGGCCCGTGTGATGTAATATTTTTCGTCATTTTGCACCATTATTTAAGCTAAGCTAATTTTATGTCTAGCTTACCCGTAAAGTTAGTTCCGATGACGTTTGTCATATTGCATTGCAATACTTCAGTAACAGCGGTTATCCTATTAACAATTTCGTTACGGTACACTAGTGTGAGGAGACTGGCTGTAGCCGTGTACTTGTACAGTGATTGTCCAGGTTCATGTAATGTGGATGGTCCAGCCCCTGGGTAGGAACACTAATGACACATTTACCCCACTCACCTAACTCACTACCTGGAGCCCATAATCCGCCCAGGTTAAACGCTAATTGTTCGGTAACCTCAGTGTTTTGAGGTGGGAGGCGGCAAGGGATTTGTTATTTACCGACAACATATTATATCAAGTTTTGAATTTAATAGTATAATCTTTAGTTATAAATATGTTACGTGTTGATTTATTTGTGTGTGTCTTTTTTTTAATATGTTTAGTTATTAGGTAGTAGTCGGGGGGCAAACTGTATTCCGTGGGATTTTTTGTGAAGGGAATGTGTGACTATGTGGAATCTCTTTATTATATGTCACATAATGGTGTAGTACCGGGTGTTTACCCTCAAATTGCGGGGTTTGGTTTTTATGACGTCGTAAATCCAAGATGGCCGCCATGTGTGACATCTATTCATTAAATTAATAATAACTCTTTTCAGAGTAAAATAATCGAATTTTAATTTACACCATTGAATTCAGCTCAAAAAATCTAACAATTTGATGTTTTGAATCATTGCTCTATGACCACTGGTTATCGAGATATTGAAGGCGGAAAACACAGAACATTGTACCCATGTTATCCTTATGGGGAAAAAATAAAATTGTATATCTAGCTTATTTCTCAGCATATCTTAATAATAATTGGTATGTGGCTTCATTTAGTAGAGATCTACTTGATTATGGCCTAAAATCCCCCATTTTTACATTTCCGTGGCAGCAAACCTGCATACTAACTTCCAATGTTATTCTTATGGACAATTTTTTGCATGCTTGTTCACTGAACATACTTTGAGAAATGATGATGTGTGGCTCCATTTTAATTATTTATTGAAGCATTTGTAATTCGTTGAGTAAACAGGTCTGCTGCTACGAGTAGGTCTGCTATAAACAAATTACAGTTATTAGAAAATAAAATAAATTAGACTATAGTTGTGAGGCATATGTAATTTTGTAGGATTTTGAATTAAGCAATTGTATGATTGTTGGCGATTGATAGGTAATGACATGTAGAACCGTGTACTACCGAGTATTTTGTCTGAAAGTGTGGCCAAGCTGGTGTTTTCGGCCGCCATCTTGGATCCACCATATTGGATGTTAATAACTTTTTTATACAATGCTAGTGTTGTGACACATCATTATGAACTAAATTTTCACGCTGATTTCAATGCTGAAATATGTTTTTAAATCTATTTTTTCGTTTGGAAGATATATTCAAATAAAAACTCTCCCCCATACATTTCTTACGGACGTTTCGTACTTTGAACATTTTTAAGATTATTTTTCTTATATCTCCAGTTCCTATTAACGCTTGCAGTTCGTTCTAGTCTTAAGATATTCAGTGATGTATGAGCTTTCATTTGAGCTATTGATCTTTAAATTCGGTTGAGTTAGAGCGTTAGAGTCGAGCTACGAACCCTAACACAATATTAAATTTAACTTATTACAAATCAGTTTATTTTATTTATTTATTTGTTAACGGTTGCACCATTTTTACATGAATAATACAATAATCTTACATACGGAAGAAGCAGAAAAAAATCACAGGCCAGTACAAAAGTAGTGAAAAAAACTGGAAAACAAGACTTCAATACAAGACATAAAAAGATAAATAACAACTATAAATAACAAACTATAAATAACAAACTATGCATAACAAACTATAAGTAACAACTATAAATAACAAACTATCTGAACAAGTTGACAAAACGAGATATTCGAAAAACAAAACCAGTATAGGAACAATAACAATGATGCAATGCAGTAGCCGAGTGAAACTTCAGTAAACAGGCAGAACAAACGAAAAACAGATAAAACTTTCAGAAAAATAACAATATGATAAACTCTGTACAAGAACAAGATATAACAATGCAATAACAATAGCAGAATAGTTTTTTTTGACTATATTAACAAAAATAAATAGCAATGCAATAAATAGAAAGTTTGGAAATATGCAAAGATTGATGCAGGAGTTCAGCAAAAAAAGAAAAAAAGTTCTGTTGTTATTAAAAGATGTATATCTCGGGTTAGTAGTACGTCACTAAGTTCTTCCTGGTCTCAAATTACTTGGTTAATGTTTGATTTTACATTTTATTAATCACTAAATGAAATCTGACTAAGTTATTTTAAAATGAGTCATGAACCACCATTTAACATTAAATTATTTTGATGTCCAAAACTTTCTTTGGTTAAAGACATACAGGGCTAGTCATCAGTGTTACAATTTT